GAGGCAGGACCTTCAAGGAGAACAACCCTTGGTGAAATTTGATTAAATCAGGAGTTAACTTTAGCAAACGCAATCCTCACCAGTCTACAGGACTGGAGGGGTGGAATTCAAGGGAGCTGAGAGGACAGGCCAACGTTACAGGGAGGTCACTCTCCATCATCTTTGAAAGGACATGGAGACTGGGGGAACTCCTTGACAACTGACAGCACCCAAATGCTGCATGTACTTTCTGAAAAAGGCCCAAAGAGTGAGCAGGGGAACCAAAGGCTGTCCCTAGAGTGTGGGCGCTTGGATCCCATTTCTGGGTATCGGGAAGAGAAGGTGACTGGATTTACCCAGGGTAGGTTGTGCCCAGCCTTCCTCTGGGCTTTCTCTGATGAAAGGACAGGATTGCTCGATGCAAGGAGAGCAGTGGTTGTCTTTTACCTCTAGGTCAGCAAGGCTTTCAGCATCATTCCCCACAAAATTCTTGTGTCCCAGTTAGGTCATTACGATCTTGACCCAGTCAAGATGAGAGAGTGCTTTTTCATCGTATTTGTAGATGACAGCACATCAAAAAGAGAAGACACTATTGATGAGCAGGGCTGTCATCTCAAGGCCCCTGGACAGGCTGGGGAGATGAACTAATAGGAACCTCATGACATGCAATGAGGGCAAATATAAAGTCCTCTGCTTGATGTGGACTAAGCCTTTGCAAAGACAGAGGCCTGGGACTGCCTAGGTGTAAGAAGCACCTCTGTGACAAAGGCTGTGGTGATCCTTGGGTTACAGTAGGCAAAACAGGAGCCATTGAGCAAAGGCAGCCAACACAGGCTGTCTGAGCAGGAGCACAGCCAGTGGCAGTGACTATATTCCTCTGCTCAGCACGTCAGACCACATCCAGAACACTTGACCAGGTTTGGGTGCCCCACAATGCCAGAAAGACCTTGGCAAACCGGAGCCAGTGCAGTGGAAGGTACAAAGCCAGAGAGACAAACTGGAGATAGTTAAGTGCAGTGGATAAAGCCACAGGCAGTCTGGTACGACCCTGCTTTGAGTAGAATGCTGGTCTATAGACAGCTTGCAAGGTCACTTCCAGTCTGAATGAAACTTTCATCCCTTCTCCCTCGTGTCGTCAACATTAGGGAAAGCACTCAGGTTCCCTCTGACTGTGGAAATAATTCCCATTGGATGCAGGGCTGCACCACAGGAGCCCCACCCAGCCCTGATGACATCTTTTCCCTCACCTTTCATTTCCTGCTTCCCTTTTCTGCACTCTACACTTCTTCACTATTATCATCCTCACACCCTCCCAAACCAACAGCCCACCCTGCTGTCCTGGCTCTGACTGGACTGGAGCTAATTCTCTCCACAGCAGCCGTACGGTGCTGTGCTTTGGGTTTATGACCAAACCAGTGTCGATAACCCACCGGTGGTGGAGCTATTGCCGAGCAGTGCCTACCCAGAGTCAAGGCTTGCTCTGTTTCTCACACTGCTCTGCCAGTGAGTAGGCTGGGGGGTGCACAAGAATTTGGAAGGGGTTGTAACCAAGACAGTTGACCTCAGCTGTCCAAATGGATACTTCATATCATATGATGTCATGCTCAGCAATAAAAAAGACAGGGAAAGATGTCATGCTCAGCAATATAAAAGACAGGGAAAGAAAGAGGAAGGGGGAACAGTGTGGGTATGGCATTTGTCTTCCTGAGTAACCGTTGCACATGACAAAGCCCTGCTCTCCTGGAGATGGCTGAACATCTGCCTGCCAGTGGGACGTATTGCATTCATTCCACATTTGCTGTGCTGTCTGTGCAGCTTTGCTTCACTTATTGAACTGTTTTTGTCTCAACCAAGGAGTATTTTCCCTCTTACCCTTCTCTTTCTCTCCCCAATCTTGCTGTTGAGGGGAGTGAGCAAGGACTGGGTAAGGGCTTAGATGCTGCCTGGGTTCACTTACCACATCTTTTAACCTTCTGCCCATTGGCCACACTTTTCTTATTTTGTACTCTCCTTTGGTGTTTCTGAGATCGATGCTGGGGTATTTTTCTACCTGGGGAAGGTAGGACCCTGACTGATCAGCAGCTGGAAGGAGCCGTTCTAGGGGAAAGGAGCACATATAAAATCATCCATCCAACAGAAAAAAACGACAGTGGTAGAGTCAAATTAGAGGTGGGGAGGTCCCTCTTGACATCCCTTGAAACCATCAACTCCAGGTGAGATTTGTCTTTTCTAAAAATATACTCGTGCAACACAGGCAATAAATATCAAATTCTTCTCTCTAACCTTTCTTTGCTTTCATCTCCTAGCAGCTGCTTCATGGCCCCTGCCAGTGCCCTCACCCTGCACTGCCTGGGTCGAGGCAGTCCCCAGCATCAATACAGGCAGAGGGGTGAAGGGATTGAGAGCGGCCCTGCAGAGAAGGTTTTGGGGGTACTAGTGGATGAAAAGCTGGACATGAACCAACAATATGCACTTGCAGCCCAGAAAGCCAACTGTATCCTGGGCTACATCCAAAAAAGCATGGCCAGCAGGTTGAGGGAGGGTATTCTGCCCCTCTGCTCTTGTTAGACCCCCCTTGCAGTACTGCGTTTAGCTCTGAAATCCTCAGCACAAGAAAGACATGGAGCTGTTGGAGGAAGTCTAGAGGAGGCCCACAGACATGATCAGAGGGGTGGAACACCAGTGCTATGAATACAGGCTGAGAGAGTTAGGTATGTTCAGGCTGGAGAAGAGAAGACTCCAGGAAGACTTTAGTGCATCCATACAGTATTTAAAGGTGGCGTATGAGAAAGATGGGGACAAACTTTTTAGCAGAGCCTATTGTGATAGGACAAGGGGCAATGGTTTTAAACCAAAAGAATGGAGATTTAGACTAGACATAAGTAAGAAATTTTTAACAGCGAGAGTGGTGAAACACTGGAACAGGTTGCCCAGAGATGTGGTAGATGCCCCATCCCTGGAAACAGTCAAGGTCAGGTTGAACGGGGCTCTGAGGAACCAGATGCAGTTTAACATGACCTTTCCCATGGCAGAGAGATTGGACTACATGACCTTTGAAGGTCCAGGAACCCCATGGGGTGGGTTGGTTCAGGGGTGGACAGACATCACCCTGGCAAAGTCCCCTGACTGCCCTCAGTGCTCAGCCTCTGTCAACCCTCCTGCACTGGCACCACTCTCAATGCCTGGGCACTGCCCAACCCCAGTCATGTCCCACACACGGGGTTTGCAGACAGCCCTGCTCTGGGCTGGGGAAGTACAAAGGCTGGGCAGGGCTGGCTGTTCCCCCAACCAAGGCACTGAGAGCAGAAGGAGGAAGGAGATGGTCACAGAGGAAACCTCAGCCATTATCTGGGGTGAGTGGCAGGTGCTGGCAATGCCTGATGGGAGATGCTGGGTGGACAAATGCCCTGGGCACCTTCCTGGTCTGCCCATGCCACCAAGGGCACAGACTGGCCTCTTCTCTCCTGCACCTGCATGTCCTCACTCCCCTCAAAGCCTCTGTGTCTCTGCACTCTGCACCACACACCCACTGGAGTGTCCTCACCCTGCCTGGTCACACAGCTCAGCCAACAGTGGGGTTGTTCTCTCCTAGGTACTTTACAGCCCAGCCCAGCCCCTCCCCAGCTCTCCCCACCACCCCTGCCCTCTCCCCAGTCCAGCCCTGCAGAGCAGTCCAGTCTGAGCTCCGGCCCACCACAGGGTGCTGCAGAGCTCTGGGCACTGCCCCCACAGCCCCTCTGAAGGGCATCTGGGGGGCAAAGAGGGGTCCCTGCGTGCCTGGGAGTCCCAGCAATGGATGCTGGGCATGGCAGGAAGAAAGGGAGGTCATTGAATGTGGAGGATCCCTGGTCTCAGGTGCAGGAGCTGCTCACCACAAATGCCTCTGCCTCGTCAGTGCCAGCCCCTCTCCCCAGGCCAGCACAAGAATCCTGGACCAGCAACAGAGCAGCTGCCCTAATTGGGGCCCTGCAGAAATCAGTTTCTCCTTCTTATTGATCCCTCCCAGCAAGACCAGAAACACTCCTTGTTATTCTCTAGGGACATCCCTGCTCCCCAGAGTGCTGTTCTGCAGGTAAACATGTCCAGGCTGGCCTGGCCGGCTGTTCCTGGTCACGGTGGTGCTGGCAGGGACACCAGCTGTGACACAGAGGTTCCCATTACCTGCTCCTGCCTATACCCACAGGGCTGCCACTGTGGAGACAACAGGACGCTATCCAGTGACGTGAGACTTGAGGGCTAACACAAACACAAGGGCATAGCAGGACAGTACGGAAGTGAGGAGAGATCAGCACTGAAAAGATCACATCCTGCTCTTACCCATGGCCATGGCTCATGGGAAGCAGCAGCCCCGACAGACAGGTGGCAGAAATGGTCTGTCCACTGAGGCACCGAGGGGCAGCCCCAAGGGCCACCGGGGCTGCTCCTCCATGAGGCAGTTGAGCTCTTGGCTCCTAAACCCCTCCTGCGTGCTGGTGCAGCACTTCCAGCTCCAGAGGAGATATCAAAGATGGGAGCTGAGACAAATCATCTTGTGCTGGTTTCTTTATTGTTTGCCTACACAGGGAGCCTGACTCCATATGTAGAATGGCAATATGGGCAGCGGCTCTGAAATGAAAGAGAGTGGATTTAGATTAGACTGTAGGAAACAATTCTTCATTCTGAGGGTGGTGAAGCGCTGCAACAGTTTGCACAGAGAAGCCCTGGATGTTTCATCCCTGGAGGTGTTCAAGGCCAAGTTGGATGAGGGTTTGAGCAACCTGATCTAGAGTCCCTGGCCATGGCAGACGGCTTGAAACTGGATGATCTTTAGGGTCCCTTCCAACTCAAACTATTCTATAATTGTATGGTGTCTTTGAGTCAGAGGAAAAGAAGTAGGAAGATAACAATATAAATATTTAAAGTGAAATAATGTACAGATGTACAAACAAAAAAAAAAAAAACAGAAAACCACAGATATGCACGAACTATAGTCCTGGTTTCTCCTGAAATACCCTGGAAGTTCTGTGAAGATAATGGGCAACTTATGGATGCTGAAGTAGCATGTACTTAAATAGGCTCCTCAGAGCATCCTGGAGTTCTTTGTTCCTGACGTTGTAGATGAGGGGGATCACTGCTGGAGTCATCACCGAGTACAGAACTGACACTGCCAGGTCCAGGGATGGGCAAGAGACAGAGGAGGTCTTCAGGTGAGCAAATAAGCCAGTGCTGATAAACAGGGAGACCACGGCCAGGTGAGGGAGGCACGTGGAAAAGGCTTTGTGCCGTCCCTGCTCAGAGGGGATCCTCAGCACGACCCTGAATATCTCAACATAGGACACCACAACGAACACAAAACACCCCAAAACTAAACAAGCACTCACCACAGGAAGCCCAACTTCCCTGAGGTAGGAGTGTGAGCAGGAGAGCTTGAGGATCTGGGGTATTTCACAGAAGAACTGGTCCAGAGCATTACCATTGCAGAGAGGTAGTGAAAATGTATTGGCCGTGTGCAAGAGAGCGTAGAGAAACCCAGTGGTCCAGGCAGCTGCTGCCATGTGGACACAAGCTCTGCTGCTCAGGAGGGTCCCGTAGTGCAGGGGTTTGCAGATGGCAACATAGCGGTCGTAGGCCATGATGGTGAGAAGGTAAAACTCTGCTGAGATCAGGAAGAGAAAGAAAAAGAGTTGTGCAGCACATCCCAAGTAGGAGATGCCCCAGGTGTCCCACAGGGAATTGGCCATGGCTTTGGGAATAGTGGTAGAGATGCAGCCCAGGTCAAGGAGGGAGAGGTTGAGGAGGAAGAAGTACATGGGGGTGTGGAGGTGGTGGTCACAGGCTATGGTGGTGATGATGAGGCCGTTTCCCAGGAGGGCAGCCAGGTAGATGCCCAGGAAGAGCCAGAAGGGCAAGAGCTGCAGCTCCCGTGTGTCTGCGAATGCCAGGAGGAGGAACTGGGTGGTGGAGCTGTTGGATATTTGCTGCCTTTGAGCATGGAGCATTGTCATAGGAGAAAAAGTCAGTGAAGTGTTAGTGTAGACTTCTCTGAGTAAAAATCAAAGCCATTTCTCATAGATCCTCCCCTTTTCACACAGAGACACACTTTTCTTTTTTGGGAAGACTTTTCTTCATCTTCATGACTGGACTCTGGTGCTGGCCAGGTGCGCCATGAGGTTCAGGGTCTCTTCCCGCTGTCTGCTGAGGGGTCAGCCCTACTCTGCAGCAGTGGGTTTATGGGAATGGTGATGGAATAGTCATGGTGTTCAACGTTGTCTGATGAAACCACTGCTAATGCAGGAGGGCCTGTCAGCATCTACACTGAAGTGGTAAGGAACCAAGATCATAGAATCATAGAATCATAGAATGGTTAGGGCTGGAAGGCCATCAGGCCCACCCCGCCTGCAAGGAACAGGGATATCTCCAACTAGATCAGGTTGCTCAGGGCCTCATCCAACCTGGCCTTGAACGTCTCCAGGGATGGAACATCCACCACCTCTGGCATAAAAGTTAAAGGAAGTTTCAGAGTTGTAGGGTTTTTTACAGTTCCCCTCCCATTTCCCTTGGAGAGTTTCTTCTGTGTCAGAAACTCTCAGTATTGCAGATGCACTCATGGAGAACAGAGCGAGTCCTGCCAGGCAAGAGGATTGCCTGTGGCTTAGTGCAGAGTGAGGGGAGCTGGTCTGTCTCTGTCTTGTTCCCAGCTGCCCTGGGCTTGCAAATTTTTCAGATGAAGAGTGATCACACTCCCATATTACCCTGAAAAACCACCAGACACTGCTGAGAGCAGAGGGATCCAGTGCAGACTACTCAGTGTCTCACCCTTTCTCAAGGTCTCAGCACCCCACTTCCAGCCAAGGACTCACATGCCTCATTTCACCAACCCAACTGCATTTCCTCTGATGTAGAGACTCTGTGTTCCCCATGGGGCTTGAAGGTAAAACAGAGGTGCTATGAGATAGATCTGCATCCTTGAGGGCAGCTCACAGCTTGGAAGGACATGTCAAGAGGATATCCAAGTGTCCCAATGATGACATGTCAATAAGAGTCTGCTCATTCACAGACTGTGTTGACCATAGCCCCACAGGTGAGAAGAAAGCTGGGACACTGATTTCCATGAACTTACCTGCATGAAAGGACCCACAGGATCAGAGTGTGACTCTGTAGCTGAAACTCCACCTCCCCAGAGAGCCTGAGAGCAAGAAGGAAATAACAATGACATGAACACAGGCAAGTGGAGAAACAAGGAAAACAGCAGTGAGGGGGTGGCTGAGAGAGGCCAGGGCAGAGGCAGCCGGGCACTGGGCACAGCGTTACCCTGACCCAGCTGG